AGAGGCTCAATAGGCTTTATCTTATGAAGCTCATTCTTGAAGAGTTTGGTAGGTACTTTTTATGTTCCTGGCATTTTCCCACTAAAACCAAGGTGGTTTCTCTATAATTTTGAGATGAAATCTGTAGTGAGTGAAGTGTCAGGGTACCCTCTAGTAGATACTTTTTCATCTGGTTTCAGCTAGAGAGAATTATCTGTGTAGAGGTGGCTGGGCATATGACATGGTTTAATGCACAGACAACAGTTTTATATTGGAATATAGAAAGATTACCATTTTTGGGTACTCCTTTGGATTCTGACCAGAAAATAAAATAAATAGGACCTTGACAATGAAGGAAATCTGCATTTATTTGTAGGAATAATAAATAGAGCAATAACAATAGGGTTTTTTTTTGACCAGTGAATTGTTAAACAATTAATGATATGCTGGGGCTAACCACCTGCCAGACAGGTACTGTCTCTCCTAAGTTTTTGATGTACCAAAGCTGACCTTAGGTGGACTTGCTTAATTTCAGAACTGCTCAAAAAACTTACTAGGTTCTTGCCTTTTGGATTTGAAAGTTTTATAGGCAGTTGTAATTTTTTCTTTGAATTTGTGCCCAAAACTGGCATCATCTGGGCAACTGATCAGACAGCTCCAATTTACACCTTTCAGGCCACATAAGTTGCCAGGAAATGGAAGAACACCTTTCATCTTACTGCTGTTCAGATATTTTCTAGATCTCTAGGAAAGATTATGTCCAGAAAGGATGCAGGGCTTTGGATTCTGGGTGGATGGAAGGATCCTCCTTATRTCCTTAGTTTTATCAGCCAAGTTCAAAATGCCATCTTGGGTGGATGATCTTTGTCTAGTTGACTTTGTTAACAGCATGTAGCTTTGTGGATTTTTCCAGAATACCTGCGTTTTTATATGTAATAAATGTACAGGGTGTAAACACTTTATAGTTTAGATTTTGTTCAGTCTGGAATGTGGTGTCATGATAATGAGTATACTGAAGGAGCCTRAAGCTAATATTGGATCTATACCTAAGTACCTTTGCCACCACATCAAATACATTTTARTATTTTCTGGTTTGCAACTCCATAAAACAGACATTTTTACTTGATAAAAATATTAAATGGTACAGATGTTCACAGAAAATTACATTCTGTGAAAGTCTCATGTGGTTATTTTCAGTATAGTTATGAGAGATTGTATGCTGTGCTGCTTTGCATTCCTCCCTAGTAAAAATATTTACTACGAATTAATAGCAGAAACTACATTGATTCCATAGCACTGAAGGATGACTTTGAAATGAACTTACATTAATGACCAGCATTAGTAAAACTGCTAATTTCCAATGTGTCATATGTTGACCAAAATGGAATTCATAAATACAGCAGTTATTACTTCGAGTGAATTGGTCATAAACTTGCAAAGTTCCTTTTCTGGCAACAAAGCATAGAGAGTATTAATCTGTTTCTCAAAACACAATCTAACATGACTAGTTGATGCAAAATTATTGGAAGCATTTACAGTTTCTTTTAAACTGTTGTAAAGGGGGCACTACAGGTGTTACAGTTATCAGAAAAACATTGCACGTCTGCTTCCAATTTAATGTAAAACATTTTTGATCAGAGTTATAGTTGAAAATTTAATTAGATCGTCATATACTTYGATTTATTGCAACAATAATGTGCAAGTGGTCCTCTGCAGTATCAGAAGTTAGACCTGGAGAAAGCTTTTTGTACCAAAGTAATTCATTGATATAGGTATATGTAAGTATATGTACAGATTTAATGAATTTAATTATTTTGATTTACTACTGCTCACTTTGAGGATGCTTCTAGGCAATGCTGTTTTTTGTTTGTTCTCATTTTGTTAATTGAATTTCCTTGCCCTTCAGTATATTCCTGTAGGTAGAATACCTTACACTATTGTTCACTGCCCTTCTAATTTGGTGCCTGCATGTTCTGAATGTTGTATAAGTTGCTGATTTAATTTTTTTTTACACATTTTAAGGATTTTGCTACTTGCTCATGTTACTACTCATATAGGTTTTTATCTCTAGTAAGTATATGCAGAATAGTAAGAACCATCGTTGCATTTTTTGTATACTGACATGGATTATCAAATTAATAATAGCCAATATTCATTCTTGCACCTGTACAATAAATTCTGTTTGCATTTGGTTGAATTCTTTGCATAAGTTAACTTCCTATTCACCTTCACTACTATGTTGCTTTTGACATTATGCCTTTTAGGATTCTGTTTCCCCAGAGACAGCTTACTTTCTGACTATCTTCCCCAAATCTATCAACCTGTCTTTAAAGTTTAAAACCTCTCTGCTTTTTTTTTTTTCCAAAGGATCTGTAGACATTTGTTCATTTTCTGTTGCTGTTTTCAATACTTATAAATTAATGCCATCAACAAAATTAACTGGTATGCCATTTTCCAGATTTTTCAGATTTTAAGGAAAACGTTAAACATCACCAGAACAAGTGGCTCCCTTTGAAATTTGAAAAGATGTTTTGCCTTGAAAGGATGCTCYTTATGATCAGTCACCAGTTGTGACTGTAAAGAAATAAGCTGTTTTTAATTATTCCAGTTTTGCTTTGGTTCTCCATGAGACACTTGGGTTTGGGGTATTGCTGTATTTCAATATATGGTAGGACATCATAGCATAAGAACTGCTAGTTTTTTCRATCTATTTCTTATTCTTTTCAAAATATCATTTAATCAGCTTGATGAAACAAGTAGGTTGCTGCCTTAGCTACATATATCATAAATTGAAGTCATTAAAATATAAAAATAWTAGGAGTAGAGAAAGTAGCTTTTAGTTTATCCAAAACCAGCCTGCAGAACTCTATCTTGTGGTCTTAATTCGGAGAACTGCTCCAGATGGTTCATTCCCAGGGGCAGCTGATAGTAGGCTACAAAGCTCCTCACGGGTCTCATGCATTTCCCTGGTTGCTTCTTTTCTTCCTGGCACAACTTTTCTGTGGTGACCAGGGTCTGCAAGGAACCTGCACAGTGATGTTTGTCCTCCTCCTTTCCTGCTCAGTGCCTCTGCCTCCCAGTGCTCTGTGGTCCATTTCATGTTCTTCCAGCTTCCAGGCAAACTARAATGAATTTCTGATGTGTTCTTGCCCCGTTTTCTCTAGAAATGCTGGTTTTGTCAAAAAGCAGTACCTCTTTGTACATTACTTTTTTATTACGGATAAGCTTTAATTGTTGTATTAAAGAGGCACACAGCTTACGGAGCTACTTAATTAATAAATATGTTACTGTTTTGTTGCATTTTTGATTTTATCAGTAATGAACTTACAGCTTTTACTTCAGCTCTTTCTCTTTCGATTGAAGAATTGCAGAATTACATGAAGTATTGATTTCCAGGCTTTGACGTGTCAAATCATTGCTACAGATGCCCTCTGTATTTTACTAACTCTCCATATGTCAGGGCCTGCATCTCTTGAACCCCTTATGGAACATGCTTTGTTGTACTTTTATTAAAATGACATTTTTGTCTAGCGCAGTAGGTATTTATATTATATTCCTTTGGATGTGACCCATGATGTAGAGGACTTGGGCTTAAAGCTACTCCAGTGTGTTATTTGCTTGCTGTAAAGTTTTGCTGTGTAAAACTTYATTAATTCCTCAGTTGCTGAGGAATTCTGTTGACATCTGGTACTCCAGAGGTGTCTTAGGGAGTGAAGAGCCTCATCTGTGGATTGGGACAGCTTTAGCTGGTGGTAAAGGCTGAGATAAAATGCAGATGAAAATATGTAGTTACAACATCTGCAATAGACTACATGAGTCTAAAATATTTATAAGAAACATTGGTCAGGAAAGGGAAGGGGAAAAAAAAGTGTTTGCATGATGATTAAATAATAATAAAAAGAATGCCCTCTCTTACCAGCCTTTGTCACAGCTCGCTCTCTTTTTTTGTGGGAGGAATTACCGAAAAATGGCTTGTACTTGTACTCTGTATTCCCTTTTTATTTAACATATTTTTTGGCCTTTCACTTTGAGTGAGCATTGTGTCTGGCTATTGGAGATGCAGATGTCTGTGTTAGACCAGTATCCTGCACCTGACTGATAGGTTAACAACATCATGCTTCAAAAACAGATAAACTGCCCCCTTCTCCTTCGGCAGTTGCACCCAGAGCTGTGTGTTGCAGTGGATCCTATATGCTCTATCAGCATGTGTGCTTATTGCTTACGACATAATTCTATATAGGATGAATACCTCTTGTTCATTAAWGGCTGTCAGTCCACTCTGCACGTAATATTATTTGTTACTTTGACTATTGCTAATTTGTTAATTTGATTATTCCATGCTTCCTATCGCCCTAATTAAAGCCTAGCTACGGAACTTAAGCTGGTGTCTGCATAGCCTTAGCTCGGACACGTGTACAGTAACCACACTGATTAGGTGCAGACCTGTGAGCGAAATCTCACATCATTGTTGCTATGGTTATTTCTGAAATAGAAATTATTCAACTCCAACTCTATACTTAACCATTCAGAAATTTGCCATCCCAATTTTTTAATTGAAATTAGAATTAGTTCTTAATAGTGGATATTTGTTTTTGTAGTGCCATGGCATACTATAAATAATTGCTACAGTACAGCTTTTAATCACAAAAGATAATAATCAGTTTTGTCTGTTACTTATTCTAAATAAAAAACCAGGTTTTAAATTGTTATTACTTCTGCTCCATATTAGCCATAAATAAGAGATAAATGTGCTTATTTTGATGATTATAATATAATCAGTTACATACAGGGCAGTACATTCCTATAAATTTCAATTATAGCTATAGGAACTAAAGCTGTGCTTAAATTAARCATAACAACAGCACTTATGTTTGCGTACTTATTTTTTATTACAAGCACCRTGAAGAAGACACGACATCCTTGATCAAAATCTAACATCTATCACATTTATGACTGCTACAAAGAAAACARGAGAGAAAAGTGTGATTTCAGCTTTATTTAATGTTTGCGTTTCATTTTAGATTATCGGCATAATGGGAGAGACCTGCAAAGCTCGACGCTATCAGTGCCAGAACAAGTTATGTCATCTAATCATTGCTCTCGATCGGGATCCCCTCACCGGGGAGATAGTATAGGACGGACTAGATCGTGGTCTCCCAGTGTCCCTCCCCCACAAAGGTAAATTGTTATTTAACTGTGCAGGTGTACAAATTAAAGTGCAATCGATACAGAAGAAATCASTGAAAATACAGGAGAGAGTTACTTCCAAAATAACAATGTATTAGCTGTATCCTATGAAATTACATGAGGTTGAGAATCTTTATTCTTCTGCTGAACTGATTTTCTATTGAGATTTACCTTATCTGGTCTTATTTTTCATGAAAAAACAGATTACATTTTGTTGAATCTGTAGAGAAATTTAATTCCCACAATGTCATAGTCAAATGCATTACTTATCTAGTATTTTGCTTCCATAATCTGAATCATTTCTTTGAGGATTTGTAGAGCCAGGAGAATTGATCACTAGAACTTGAGARTTCATGAAAAGGAAGGAGAACAGTATTTTCTTATGAAAATCTAGTCATACCCAGCAACTCTATAAGCATTGTTGGTCACACTTGCTCATGTTCAGTTGAGTTTGCTGTATACATGCTGCTATAGACATCAGCAAGTGTGCTGAACATCCAGAGATCTCCCAGTTACTATTCATGCACCTTCAGGCAAGAGCTCTGCTAGGACACAGAAACACAGTTTGCCTCAGGAGCAGATTTGCAGAAATGGGCAAGAGGTCTCAGTTCTAAACCTAGTTAGTAAAAGTGTAGCCCATAAAATTAACCCAAGTTACATAGTATCTGACAAGAAAATTTGACCTTGATCACCAGTATTAGCAATGCGGTGAATGTTAAGTTGCATGGCTTTACCTCTGACAGAGATGAGAACAGATTAAAAGCCTCTAGTAGAGAAGCAGGAGCCTCCTGTAATGTTTGCAGGTAATACATGCAATGGATTATATTATTCTTAGCAGAGTGAAACAGAACTGAAATAATAATGCTTTGAGTGAAATGAATACAGTTATGTAGGGCTTTGTACGGAGCAGCAAGTAGTCAGAATCTGATACAATGCAGAGACTTAGGAAAGAATGATTTATTTAGAACAGTAAGCCAAGAACACAATCCTATTGGAAACAGTTTGAGTGGAGAGATTGATAGAAGATTTTCCATACTCAGACTAGAAAGAAGAAAGTACTAATACTGAAAGTTTACTCAGGAGCTTTGGTTGTATAGGCAGAGAAAAGGGTCAGATCTTGGAGAAGTTTTGTGGAAAAAAACATGGCAACATTTGGTAAACAAGTATTTAAGTCAAAAGAAAGGCAGAGTGAAAAAATMGATCTAACACTAGAAACAGGAGAAAAAAAAAAAAAGTAATTTTCTTGTCTACTCGTGTGAAAATAAACAGAATGAGAAGAAGGCCTAAGGGAAAATGATGAAAAGTTCAGTGCTGGCCATCTTTAGTTGCAGTTGCTGTCTGGATGTCTGTGGGCATCTGTAGGAAAAGTGAAGTTTTATTTTGTTTTATTTTGTAAGTGAGGGAGATAAGGCTAGCGGCATAAAGATGAAATTTAAAGCTCAATTTGATACTGACATTGTAAAACTCAGAGATGGGATTGCAGTATGAAAAAAAAAGGTGCAGGGAATGCTGTGGTCCATACTGATGAATGTTATTAGAAAGGTAGTAGAGCTGGAGATGTAGTGCAACATCAGCACAGAGAAATAATCAGCAGGCTGGTGACAGCCATGCAGGATGCCAATATAGGCTCAGGAACCGGTGAATGGCAAAGGAAACTCTTGCAGCCACAATGGCCAAGGAGCAGCACAGGAGCTCAAGTGCAAGGAGGCCCACACTTAGGGAAGACTACAGGAAAGGAAAGAAGGCAGAAGAATTTTCAAGTCTAACTTTCAAATTTCTAAGGAGGGAAGCATGCAATCCCTCATATTTTCAAATCTTTACAGAACAAACCTATTTTATTTATCTGATAATTGTAACACTTAAGTGTTGTCTTCCTGTCTTTGCCTTCTTGTGGATTTGTTTTACAGAGCAGCAGAAGTGAGGTCAGTGGATATCAGTAGGTTAAGCTGAGCAAAGCAATCTGTGGACAAAGCCTTGGTCTCAGGGAGAACTAAACTGGAAGAGTGATTGTGCTCTCAAACCACTGCACTAAGTGTACCACTTGCTGTTGCTATTGGAAGCATTTAATTTAAAGCATTTAATTAACAATTACTGTATTTTTCAGATTCTATGCTAGTGAGATTAGATAATAATCTCACCGCTGTCATTTGCTCTAAATACTTTTTATACCAGCCCATGACATGTGCAGCTGTGCTCAGAACCCACAGTCTGATTTCTTTCACCTGCAGCCGGAATGTGGATCCAGGCCTCCGGGGAACGCGGTCTCCCGCAGCGCATTACAACACCCTGAACCGAATGGAGAGGCACCGTGTCATAGATGACCACTACTCCCCGGACAGAGAGAGGTAACTGTCAGCCTAGAATTAAGAACAGCTGTGTCTTAAGCTCATCAACGTGAGTTATTTCAGTGCTGTAGCTCACTGAAGTAAACAACAGAAGTACTTATCTAATCCCACACGTGATAATTTCCCTACTGTTCATCCATTGGTTGTATGATACGTTAAAAAAATATGCAGTGCACACAAAAGGCTGACAGACTGGTAATTTAGTTTATCTTTGGCAAGAGGGAAATTGAAAAATCTGAGAAATTATACTTCATAAGGGGGAGATAGGTTGGCGGTCCTGTTTTAAAAAGATTAGGCACTATACTAATAAATTCATCAAGAGGCAAATGTATTTTAAAAATGAAACAGTAGGTTYTTAGTTGATTTTTTTTTTGTGCTTGAGTAAAAAAGTGTTTTAAAGACTTAGAATTTGATATCAATTAACATAATACTCCCATTGGATACAATGGAATCCAGACATGACAGAAATACATTCTAGCGTTGTTCTAGCATGCTTTTTTCCCCTCAATTTTTTGAGCCATTTGGTAATAAAATCAGCTGCTGTGGGAATATGTGTTGGAATAAAATTGGGGTCACTGTGTTCGGAGGCAAAGTTCACCATGACTAACATTTTGCTTAATGGAACTTTCTAAAGAGTGAGTAAAACTGTGTGAATTTTAATAACATAAAAGGAGAGTTGCAGACTCTAGTTGGCTAATGTAGTTAATTTTCCTCAAGTGACATCAGAGCAAATAACTGCAGTTGCTAACTGCAGTGCAAAGTTGATGGTGATGAAATATTTGAATTTTCATGTGATAGTTCTTGATGAATAGATATTTGCTTGCTAGGTATGCTCTGGATCTCTGAAAGCAGGTTTGTCATCTATATTTTTCAAATCACATGCAGTAGTTTTCCTGTGCATACCTGGTGAGCAGCTCACTGGGTAGAGTTTTGAGTAATTAAGCCTCTAGTGTAACACACAGCCTCTAAAACATATTGGTTCTCAGCGACACTCAAGAGAATAGGAAGAAGAGCAGTTCTGAAGTTTTCAATAAAAACTTAAAAAGCATAATTTCTGTTCCTTGATAGCTTGACAGGATAGATTTCTGAAYGGAAGAATTGTTAGATTTCAGATTATTTTACTGAATATTTGTCTAATACTGTCTGTGTTACATAATAAAAAAGGTTGGTCCATACACTAAGAAGTCCCTAAAATAACACTTTAATAGTTTTCATTCTGAATACTGCCTGAGCTGYAGGTAATATGAAGAAGTGGAAAAACTCTGAACTTTTATATAGGTTTATAATCTTTCTACTTGTCATCCTTATTTTGTCCCACATTTGACTTTSGGAAAACAAAACAAAACAAAACAAGAATAATAATTTACTTTTCCACTGCTCTGAGGGTTTGTTGTTTCCCTGGTGTGTTCATCCCGTGGAGCTGCTTGCAAAGAAGGGACTTCGTGAAAGTACCTTCTGGTAGATGTGCTCAAGTACTGTGTTAGAAAGAGACTGAGAATGTGAGTGAATGAGAAAATAACTCACATATTATAGACTTAGCTGAAACCACATACAAGAACTTCTAATGATCTCAAGTCTAATGGCTATATAAACATGCCCTCAAAACTGAGTATGTAGTTGGAAATTAAAAGCAAAATATTAAAAAGCAGACCTATATTTTTCATTTTATGGGACACATCATTTTAACTTCTAACCACAGGCCTTTAAATATGTCAAATTTTGTATCTGTTTGTGCACTGTTTTTTATTGGTGAGGCAAAACTACAGAAAAAAGTATCTCACTTTCTATACTATCAAAAAGGTCAGAATTGGATTGTATACTGGTAATTCCAAGTGTGAAAATATTTAAGTTACTTTTTTACCTGTGCATTTGTATATAGATATACATACAGGCAGATAGATATACTGGTTCRTTTTTGTCAAAATTGAGACTTTTTTTTTGCAAGCACTGATGCTTTTATGAAATAACTTAAATGTCTTATGGAAAAGTGGGCTTTTGACCACTTATATTCCCAGCATAAGCTATATGTTTTTAATAAGCTCTCTGATGTTTTTAATAAGCTCTTTTTATGTTTTTAATAAGCTCTCTGAGCTTTAATAAGCTCAGGAGTAGCCAGCATGGATTCACCAAGGGGAAATCCTGCTTGACTAACCTGATCGCCTTCTATGAAGGAGTGACTARCTGGATAGATGAGGGCAGAGCAGTGCATATCATCTACCTGGACTTCAGCAAGGCTTTTTTGACACC